GAAGCGTCTTGAGATTGCCCAATTAGAGGCGCAATTAGCTCAAAGAAAGGTTGAGCTTCTAGAGGCTGAGGAGCAAGAGCACTCGTTTGCTCGTCGCGATCTAGCGGTGCTGAAAGAGTTGGAGCGCGCAAAAGAGCAGGTCGCGGGGAGTTCGGCCCCTGGTACTGATCCTCCTGCTGTCGAACCATCGCTATCCGGACCATCGGCTGATCTGGGCGGGTTACAGGCTGATTACTACGATCCTTCTTTTGACTATTCCTTTCTCTTCGAGGGGCTGCCCCTCGCTTCTCCGGGTGCTTCCGGTGGTATTCTCGTACCAGTGACTTGCAGTTCGTTAGATTTCCTTCAGGTTCCCAAGTGTTATGGCTCTCGGGCCATCCTTGCCACTTGACCAAGTACTTCCACTGACTACCGATTTTCCGCAGGTCCTTGATTTCCTCGACCTCGTACTCGTCGTCTTCGAGCTCTATGTCCGTTGCTAGCTCGGCATCTGGAGGTGCTGGTTCTAGGAGTTTCTTGTGAAAGACAGGGTGGATTCGCATGCCTTGTGGGAGTTTTAACTTATAGTTTACTTTTCCTATTTCCTCTAGGATTTTGAATGGTCCTATTCGGAGGTTGTCCAATTTTCTGCATGGTCGTTTAGTTTTCAGGTTTTGTCTTGACAAGAAAACTTTGTCCCCCTTCTTAAAGGTTGGTCCCTCAATCCTTAGTTTATTCGCTGCCTTAGATATCGTGAGGTTTCGCTAAGCTATGTTCTTGCTCAATTCTTCGTGCAATTCTCGCATAAGCTTCGCTTTATCGTCTGCTCCTACCGCGATACTTTCAATGTCCTTTGGATCCCGGTGAGCAGTCGGCTCATATCCGTAGTTCGCGTAGTGCGGCGAATGCTTCGTCGTTGCTGATTTCGTACTGTTATAGGCCAATTGCGCTGTTAGTAGCAGTTCTACCTAGTTGTCCTGCAACTTGTTGGCGTACATCCGTAGATACTGTTCTAATGTCTGGTTCGTTCGTTCCGTCTGGCCGTCTGTTTCCGGGTGAAAGCTTGTCGAAAGCTTCTTCTTGACACCTAACTTTGCTAGGAATGTGCTCTAGTATTTAGACGTAAACAGTTTATCACGATCGGTGATAAACTCTTCAGGTATTCTATGCTCTGACACTAGTGCCTTTGTGACCTCGTACGCGCATTCATCTGCCGTAATAGTCTCTTCTGTGGGCACAAATTTCGCTGTCTTAGTTAGTCGGTCTACGATTACTAGGATTGTGTCGCAAAATCGAGCTGATCCTGGTTCTAACGATCTCGGGAGCTTCACTATGAAGTCCATCGTTACGCTTATCCATAGTCTAGATGGTGGCTGTAGGGGTTGTAACAGGCCGTAGGGCTTATGTCTCTTAGGCTTGTTCTGGTGACATGCTAAACAGTTGCCTAGTATTTCCTGCACCTTCGCTCGCAAGCGTGGTATTGCAAACACCTTAGCTAGTCGTCTAACCATTTCGTCCACCCCTGCGTGTCTATATTCTGGGGACTCGTGCAGGGTCTTAATGAGTTCGGTTCTTATATGTGGGGGTATGTACGTGCTTGTATATTCTCTTAGAGCTTTGAGCTCTTTCCCATCGTTTGTTACTTCTGGCGGGTAGGGGTCCGTTTCTGACGCCCATAACGTTGCTTTTTCCTGCCATTGTTTCTGTAGTGTTTCTACCTGCTCGGCCACCTTAGCTACCTTAGCTAGTTCCGGCTGGTTGTACTTTAGACTGCCATCGGGCATCGTCTTGAGTAAGGCGTCATATGGTTCTTTATGACCCTCTTCGCGCAAATCAGACCTTCTACTTAAAGCGTCCGCTGCTCCGTTGAGCGTCCCTGCGCGGTGCGTGATCTTGAAGTCGAACTGGGCTAGCATCTCTGCCCATCGTACTTGTCGTCGGTTGAGTTTTTTCGTTGTCATGAAACTCGTCAAGTTCTGGTGATCGGTAAAAACCTCGATCTGTTCAGGGAGTCCTAGTAGGTACACTTCCCATTGTTCAAAGGCATCGACTACTCCAAGTAGTTCCTTATCGTGAACATCGTT